GTAGAAAGTCTGCCCGGCACAATCCCAAGGCCCAGAAAACAGAAGTGATGAGGTTGAGGGACTGGAAACGGAATGCTGGCAGGCTGAAGGGGGTGGTGGTGGCACTGGTGGACCTTGAGAGATAGACTGAGGGCTCCAAACCCTTTCTGAGATCTACTGAAGCATTTGAGAAAAATATTCAAGTAAGTTGAAAATGGATGTCTTAGGGTTTCTATTGCAGCAATGAAACCCCATGGCCAAAATGCAAGTTGGGGAGGAAAGGGTTTATGCTGGTGGCTGTGTCAGAGGAGCAGAGGGTGGCTTACACTTCCATGTTGCTATTCATCACCAAAAGAAGTCAGGACAGGAACCTGGAGGCAGGAGCTCATGCAGAAGCCATGGAGGAGTGCTGCTTACTGGCTTGCTTTCCCTGGCTTGCTCAGCCTACTTTCTTATAGAACCCAGGACCACCAGCCCAGGGATGAAACCACCCACAATGGCCTGGGCCCTTCCCCATCAATCATTAATTAAGAAAATGCCTTACAGCCAGATATTATGGAGGAATCTTCTCAATTGAGGTTCCCTGCTTTCAGATAACTCTAGTTCATGTGTCAAGTTGACATAAGACTAGCCAGCACAATGGGAAAGAAAAAGGATTCTTCTCATAGTTTATTATATTTATTTATATACATAGTGTCATGTATATGTGTGTGTTTTGTGTTTTGTATATATGTTCATGTATCTGGGGTGCATTCTTGCGTGTATACATATGCATGCTATCTTGCCTCTTCAATCATGTTGGTTATGTAGAAGACTAGAATATAGTACTTCAAAATATGATTGAGACTAGAATCTGCACTCCTAAAATATCCCTCTTCAGTATAAGGATTATTTTGAGCTGGAAAAGGGGAGAAGCTGCAGATACAAAAGAAGTTCTGAAAACAGAATGTGAGTTATATATTGTAAGGAAAACTTAGATTTATAAAAGAAATTCCCATTAGTGTGGGTATCTGCCTTTCTGCGCAGGACAGAGGGATGACTTCAAATCACCTCTTCACGATGGGGAAGGTACAGATTTAAACTTGTGTAGTCAAACCTGACAGACTACTCTTGTCTCTCTCTTTCCCCTGTAACCAGCCTTGCCCACGCTATCCTTTCTTTGCCTCAGGGGACAATGACAATAATATTCAAATCTGAATTCAAATCTACCCTTTTCAGATCTACTAATTTTTCTAAATCTCTCCTAAGTATGCTCGAGATGGACACTGTATTTCTCTTCTGTTTGTTCATCTCTTGTTAGTCTGTCTTTTATTACAAATCTATATTTATTACATATCTATCTACCCATGAGAATGGGAGATAGAAACTGATCAGGCAGTTTTAGGGATGGAGCCTTGAGGATGAGCAGTTCTGATTCTTGTCCTTGTTTAGAAGCTAGAAATGACCCTGCTTCTGTCCAGCCTGGATTCTGGAAATGCCAGAAATGTTTTGGGGCTCTGCTCCCTGGTCTAGTTTTGTGTTGACTTCCTTCGGCTTCTATACAACCTACATGAGCAGAGCTGGATATGAGGCTGCCACCAAACTGAGGTGTGTGAACACTTAGGGGATGGACAACTGTTGTGGAATAGTCCTTTTGTACACTGTGAAGATGTGTTGCTCTTATTGGTTAAAGAGCTAAACGTCCAATAGCTAGACCAGAGGAGGGTAGGTGAGGCTTGTGGACACAGAGACAGTTCGGGGATGAAGGAGGGTGGAGTTGCCAGGAGATGCAGAGAGAAGCAAGATGAATTTGCTGGGCAAAAGTGCTGAGCCACATGGTAGTACCTAGATAAGAAATATGGGTTAATTTAAGTTGTAAGAGCCAGTTAGTAGCAAGCCTCAGCTATTGGTTGAGCATTTATAATTAACAATAAGTCTCTGTGTGGTTATTTGGGAGCTGGCTGGTGGGACTGAAAAGTTCTGCCTATAGACAACTAGACTGGCTAGCTCATCCCTGAGGCTTTAACCCAGGAAAGCCTATTAACCCATGAATGGAGACCCCCATAATGGCCCACTATTACTGGGGTCCACTGCCACTGTACAGGAGCTCTGTTTGCTTTCTTTCTCTTAAGTTTCCACATCGAATAAACTCCTTTCTAAAAGCTCACTCTCCCTGGACCTCATGCAATCCATTCATCAAACCCATAAGCAAGAACCCAGAGCCACCAGACTGTAGGAGTTTTATGTGATTATGAGCACCTGGTACTCTAACTCCAGAGTCCAGCACACTCAGGCTAGAAATCCTGTCACGTGAAGGGCTCTGCTTGCCCCTCTTTCGATACTAGGGATTTTAAAGGCTGGTGAGAAAATGGTTTTGTTTTTCATCTTCTCCTACAGTTCCAAGGAAGGGAGCGAAAACCTGGAAGTCAAACAGCTCCAAAGCTGTATTAATCCAGAGGTGATGGTGGCCTGAGCTGTGCAGCAGATATGCAGATGGAGACTCAGGGAGCTCAGTTAGAAGTGTGACAGGATGGTCCTAGTAAAAACTACAGGGAGAAAATCAAAATAAATGTAGAAAGATGGAGCTTTGCCTTACCAGGAAGCAAGAGCCTTTCCTTTGCATGGCACTGATATACAATGTAAATTAATTAAGAATGCTGTTCAATTTACCTCGCTCTCTTTCCCTATTACTGTTCACTTCAAAGGAATCCTTCCAAGTTACTCCCTCTTCCAGTCTCCAGTCTCCTCTTGCAAGATTAACCCTCTCTATCCCAAGTGCTTTAAAGTTCTAGGAGAGACACCCGTAAATGTGTCTACATCCTTTTGACAGTCATGGTTGTAGTTTGCAAAATTAGATGTTAATAGGGACACTGGCAGTCTGACCTGAAGAAGAATGTTGAAGAAATAGAGAGCATTTCTGCTGCTAATCTCACAGATATGAGAAGAAAGACCACTGATCCAAACTATGGCAAAGTTAAAGCCTTTTAATTCATGTGCACAGACTCTCTCTCCCTGAGGTGAGATTCAAGAGATCAGCATTGGATGTGGGGCAGACAAGCATTTTTATAGTTCAGGAGAAGGTTGTTTCCAAATGGGGTCTTTGGCAGGCAAATAGGTGGGGTTACAGAAGCAGAACATAAGCATCAAGTTGGTCATAACAACCTCCTGAAGCAAAGACATGGCTTCGAGGTGGTTAAAACGATGTGATCATAGCAAGGTGGCCATAACCTTGGGGGGAAAAAGGTGTGGTTGTCATTTCCCGGAGCAGGCAGTACAGAACCATTTGTGGTTAAGGTTACAGGTAGGGCATAGCCCAATCCTTGAGAAGCAGATGTAATCATAAACAGGAATGAATCTAGTTTGTCTTTACTATAAGATGGCTTTCAAGCCTAAGATAGAGGCAGGCTGCTTTGTCATCCCCTCCCCTTGTCTTATATGTCCCTGTCAAATCCTTGATAGGGTTTTAGCATTCTTAATCTGGGGGGAAACAAAATTTGTAATGAATCAATAAATGATTGATTATAGATTCCCATTCATAGATTATACCTGTTTTGTTTGTATAAAATGAAAAATCTCTGTTTTGTCCTCTTAATTAGGGTGTTTTCCTTTTATCCAATATTCCAGCCTTCTGTTGAGGATAAGGGACTATCTATTCTCTTCTGTAACTGTTTCTCAGCTGAAATTAGGGTGCAGTTGTCAGGGCCCAGAAAGGATGGAATTTTAGTCAAAGGTTGGGAGGAGATTAGGTCGATGGGGTAGTCATCAAAAGCATATGGTTTGCTGACCCAGCTGAAGAGACAAGGAGCAGTCACATTGATTGGCCTGGTTTACATCAGTTTTCAACAAGTCCAGGGCTATCCAGCATTGGAGGACTACTTGGGGCTGGAGTGGTGTGCTTTGGAACAGTTTGCAGCCTGCAGCTGATTTCTGCATGATGTCCACCAGCCCAGTGGAATTCTGCAAAGACTATAGACTAGGGACAGCAGTTAAAGAACTTAAAGGAAACTTCTATATTTGGAGCTTTCTCCTCAGGAATAGACAATAGTAGGGAAGCTTAGGCTGTTGATTGACAGGAGTACTTACCTGGAGCCTGTTTGACCTGTGAATGGTGGATCTAAGTCTTATGAGGTTTTTTTTTTTTTTTTTTTTTTTTGTCTCCCTGATGCTTCCATTACCATTATCCATAATCTATACTAAAACCCATATTGTAGAAAAAGCAGCTAACAGGTATCTGTAAAACAACTGGAGTAGATTATTCCCACCTTTGAGTCATAGCAAAAACTATGGCTTTGGGTTAAAAAGCATGAGCATATCTTTTTCTCTGTTCAGAGGGTTAGATACATAGATTAGGTAGAAGTGTTTTTTTTTTTTTTAGCACAATGAGAAGCATTTTTAAATCTATATTTAGAAGACAACCAAAGCTAATTTAAAATCTTGATCTTATGATAATAGCAGTCAATACTTTACCAGTTTGTCAGAACTTCATTGATTCATGTTAAAACTTTGAACCTTTGAAATCTTAGTATAACAATAGCGTAGAGGGGGAAATAGATGACTTATTTAGGCCTTTATATCCTTAGATGTTTATAACTTAAATTATTTTTAGACCTTTATACTTTATATAAAGCTTAATTTTTTTAAACTCAATTACTTATCACTAGACACATAGAAGTGGTTGATTATTAAGAGTAGTCATTGCAAAGCAAGTTTCTTTAAATAAAAGAATAGTAAAAGTTACGTTGAAACCTGTTTTGTGAGTTGATCATTCAGTGTGAAGTAAACAGTGTCTGTCTGCCTTTCTCAGCAGGAGACAAAGTAGCTCCAGAAAAGTGATAAAGCTTCAGTTAGCTGTCAATACCGTCAGAGATCTGAGAAGAATAAATTATAGCAGGACAAATAGCCCAAATCGCCTCTGCACTAGTTAAAATGACAGAGACTTACTGCTACCTGGATGGTTACTCTAGGCTCCCGTGGCCTTGGTGACTTCATTGTTTCATTGTGGACAGAAGTGGTCAGTGTTCGGCTGTCACATGGGGCAGTATCACATCTTCAGCTGATGCACAGGAAAGCATAGGCCTTTAGCTGCCAAACCCAGAAGACCTGAGAAATTTTTCCTGTGGAGGAGAAACCTGAGAAAACTGGTGGTGATGTCCATGTGCTGAGTTATACAGCCTGAATGGTAAGATTCCTTATGTATAAATTTCTGATTATTAACCCTGTGTTATACATTTTGTGTGTGGTTTATTTATTTATTTGGTTTTTCGAGACAGGGTTTCTCTGTGTAGTTTTGGTTGGTTCCTGTCCTGGATCTTGCTCTGTAGACCAGGCTGGCCTCGAACTCACAGAGATCCGCCTGGCTCTGCCTCCTGAGTGCTGGGATTAAAGGCGTGCTCCACCACCGCCTGGCCCTGTATTATAAGATTTAAGTCAACTGTTGTTACAGACCTTATAGATTTTTAACCATATCCAATAAATTTATAAATCCTGAGGTAGAGAAAGTTCATATAATAGTCATATAAATCTTGAGATAAGGTTTATATCTTTGCAAAAGTTTGTAGGCAGCTAAATGAAAGCAGTAGTCTAATTTTATAGCCTTTTTGCCTTGCTCTCTTTTTTTTTTTCTTCACACAAAGTCAGGTGGATCATTTGACATAGGACAGAAACTTTCCAATTCCAGAGCCAGCTTTTCAGTAAAGCAGAACACCATAAAACGATATTCCAACATTGTCCATACCCAAAAGACATTTGAATCCCTGCTAAACTGAATCCAGTGACCAGAAAGCTCAGAGATAAGAAATTTTGAGCCCTGGCTATCAAAGCAGCCATGGCAAGCATTGCGCAAAGCCACCCAGGGTAGCATGCTGGGGGTCGGGGTGTCCACGCTACCCCAGCCTAAAGGCATGGGAGCGGTGGACCTAGAGCTTGGTCCAGCTCCCACGTCTGCCCGTAGCTGGAAAAAATTAGTGGGGCACAGAAACACAAGGGACAGAGAGAAGAAAATGAAACAATAAACACAGCACAAAGGCTAGAAGACGATGGTCCAGCTTACCGGTCTTCTTATCCGTGTCACTCATCTGTTTCAGTTGCCTCGAGTCAGAACACATAAAGACAGGCCCAACACAAGACAGGACACAGAGCAAAAAACAATTAGAGTCATCCAGAGAGTCACCAGTTTGTTTGTTTGTTTTTGTTTTTATAATAGAAAGTTTTTTTCCCCCCTCAACGGTCTCCCTGCACAAACCAGGCACTGGGAATCTACCAGAGGCTGCCTAAGCATCAGGTTTACTTGGTTCAGTTAGGCTGGGCCTATCCATCTTGGCCCTTGGTGAGGCCAAATGTCCTTGTTGGGTCTGTCCAACCTCTTGGCTCCCAGTATTGCAGAACACTCTCAGGGTTCCATGGCTTTGTTGTACTGCCTAGGTATTGAAACCCTGCCAGTGGGTGCCCAGGTGCTGGGCCTCTCCAATTTCTGTCTTGGCTTCAAGTCTCACTAGGGCACCACATCCCCAGGGTCCCAAGGTGGGTCAGAAAAAGAACTGGTGATTCTGGCCGAACTTCTAAGTAACCATATTGGCAATGCAGCATCTCACTTGTTGCCCTGGATGGGGAAATATTGGGTCTTGTCAGATCCTGCCCCGCTACATCTCCAGTTCAGGATCCCACAGAAACAGATGTCACAGAGAGTATTTATGACTTATCAGAGGGGGCCTCCACAAATGGGTGCTTGCTGCTTTCTTTGGATGCAGTCATTCACTCAGGCAGTCTGTGAAACTGAAGGCATGCCTAGGGGCCTTGGAGTATCTCCAAAGTATAGACCTCCTAGAGAGCAGCTCTTCAGTCCCAGGGGGCCAGAGGGAAGGGTCCAACTTCTGAAATCTTGATCTTGATGGGGCCTCCAAATGTTAACATAATAATCTCTTGAAACAAAGACATGATTGCCTTTTCCTGGAACAGGCAGCACAGAACGATTTGTAGTTAAGGGTATAGGTGGGGCGTATCTCAATACTTGAGAAACAGATTTAATCATAAACAGGAATGAATCTAGTTTGCTTTTATGATAAGATGACTTTCAAGCCTAAGATGGAGGCAGGCTGGGTTATCATTCTATCCTCACAGACCTGAAGGGCGAACCAAGAACCAACTTCTCCAAACTAGAACCTCTTCCACTTATTGTTTCATAAAAATCTCGAGAGTGTCTCTCCCTTTGGAAGTTAGAGAATGTTTCTCTGTGAGGTCCATCGTCTCTACCGCATTTTCCCGAGGCTGAGCTGGAATAAAGCCATCTCCTCTACCAGGCTCTGGTCTCAGATTGCGGGGAATAGGCCCCCTCAGAACCCAGCATCACAACACTTAAGGAAGTAGAAAGGACAGGCGCTGACGACAAACGGAGGCTGAGGAATCAACACTGATGAACAGGCTTCTGGCTTTAGCCTGAGTAGATGTGATACTGTCTAACGTCTTGATCAGGTTTGTTTTCTCCAGCAATTAAAGAATTAAAAGGCAGGGGGGAAAAAAAACCCACAAGTGAAATAGGTGACAGTGGATGAATCTCAAAAATGGGAGCAGGCAGCAGTTGAGGAAAGGCCTTGTGGGGGAGAGGGGAAGAGAAGCATACATACAGCAGATACACAGAAAAATGCTCTCTGCAAAGCAGAGACAGCCTTCGGGAAGCCAAAAACCCAGTCTCTGGGTTTTCATCTGCTAACTTAGGGATGGATTGGTTTGAAGAAAGATAGGATGGTTGATTGGACAACTGTTGTGTGACATGTCCTGATTAGGCCTTAAACTTGTTAACTCAGTCCATCAGCAGGGGGTTGGCTGGTGAGAGACAAAAGCCAACAAAGTCTTTGTTCTAAGCTGCCAGGTTTTTGTCTCAAGTCAGGAGGGTGAGGAAAGAGGCAGCCATCTTGGAAATCCGCTTCCTTTACTATCTAGCCATGTCCCCTCTCCCTATTTCTGCTTACCAGGGAGTCTGTCTACCTCCTAGTCTCCCAGAGAGAGGTGACATTCTGCCAGGAGTTCGATTCTGAAGCTGCTGAATTTGAACTGCTTCCGTCACATCCAGGTGAAGATACCCAGCAGGCCGCTCCATACACAGGTTAATACTTAGGAGAACGCTCTGGGTTGGCGATATGTGTGGGTGCACATATTTAGGTGTGTGTATGCACATGTTTACTTCTGTATGCATGGACATATGTGTGTGTGCCTGTGGAAGGCACAGGTCGACATCTGGTGACTCCCTCAGTTTCTCTTCCTCTTGTTTTTTGAGACAAGATCTCTCACTGAATCTGGAGCTTACCAATTCAGATAAACAGAGTGGGCAGCAAGTGCGAGGAATCCTCCTGCCTCTGCCTCCTGAGAGCTGTGATTACACATGCACACTGCCCCACCAGGCTTTCAGGTAGAGTTTGCTTGTTTGCTTTTTTTAAACAAGTGTTGAGGTGGTTATCAAAGATGTCAATTAAATAAATCAAACTGGGACTAGTGACCGAAGAGAGAGAAGCTGAGAGTTGAAAGGAGAATCTCAAGAAGCCTCAGCAATTTAAGGATAAGACCTAGCCAGGCGGTGGTGGTGCACACCTTTAATCCCGGCACTCTGGGAGGCAGAGCCAGGCGGACCTCTGTGAGTTCGAGGCCAGCCTGGTCTATAGAGCAAGATCCAGGACAGGCACCAAAACTACACAGAGAAACCCTGTCTCGAAAAACCAAAAAA